ATTGAAGATGTAATTAAAAATCTACCAACAAAGAAAATCCCCAATCCTGACAGATTCACTGCTGAATTCTAAAAGAAATTTAGAAAATACCTAACACCACTAAAACACTTTAATGAAATTGAAAGGAAAGCAATATTGCCAAATTCATTCCTGGAAGCAAGCATTACCCGATATCAAAACCAGAGAGGGACCTAACTAAGAGAGAGAACTCCAGATCAATCTCCCTAATGAACATTGATGCAAAAATCCTCAATAAGATACTGGCAAATAAAAATGCAGTAAGCCATCCAGAAGATTTGACACCATGATCAGGTGGAATTCACCCCAGGGATGCAGGGATGGTTCAACATACATAAACTAATAAATGTAATATACCATATTAACAGTGTCAAGGACAAAAATCATATGATCATCTCAATTAAGATGACAAAGTCCAGCACCCATTTGTGATAAAAATCTTACAGAAAATTGGAATAGATGGCCTTTATCTCAGCCTGCTAAAGCCATCTATGACAAGCCAACAGCCAAATACCAACTGAACAAACACTGAAAGCTCTCTCTCTCTCTAAAATCAGGAGCAAGACAAGGATGTCCACTGTCTCTACTCTTATTCAACACAGCCCTGTAAACTTTAGTTACAGCAGACAACAGAAAGAAATAAAAGGAATAATAATAAGAAAGAATTTAAATTATCTTTATTTGTGGGTGACATGACTTAGAAGATCCCAAAAACTCCACTAAAAAAAAAAGACTGCTAGATTTAATAAGCAAAATCAGTAGCATAGCTGGATATAAAGTCAACACTTAAAATTAATAGCATTCCTGTACATGAATAACAAACTCACTGAGATATAAAGTAGAGAAACAAAATAACATGCAAACCAGGCATCGTGGTGCATGCCTGTAATCCTAGCACTTGGGAGGCTGAGGCAGGAGTACCATTGCAAGTTCAAGACCGTCCTGGGCTACAAAGTGAGCTCAAGATATGCCTAAACTGCATAGTGAGACTTTGTCTCAAAAAGACAAAATAAATAAACAAAACAAAATAGCATCCAAAAGTGAAATATCTAGAAATTTATCTAATGAAGGTTGTAAAAGACCTCTATCGGAAAATTAGATTACTCTGTAAAAGGAAATTGAAGGGGATATCAGAAAGTGGAAAGACATACCTTGCTCTTGGGTAGGAAGAATCAACATAGTGAAAATGACCATAATTTCAAAACTGTGATACAGATTTAATTCAATTCCTATCAAAACTCCAATAATACACCTCACAGAATTAGAGAAAACAATCCTAAAATTCAGCTAAGCATGGTGGAACATGCCTGTAATCCTTGGGAGACTGAGGCAGGAGGATCATTGTGAGTTCAAGACCAGCCTGGGCTACACAGTGAGCTCAAGGCCCAGCTTGAACTGTATAGGGAAACCCTGTCTCAAAAAGACAAAACAAAACAAAACAAAAAACCCAACCAACCAAACCAAAAAAAAAAAAAAAGGCCTAAAATTTATCTGGGACAGAAGAGCCCTAGAATAGTAAAGGCAATCCTGGATATCAAAGGCAAGGCAGGGGGCATCATAACCCTTGACTTGAAATTATACTACTAAACTACTATGACAAAAACAGTGTGGTATTAGGGGAAAAAAGCCCCAAAGATCAATGGAACTGATTAGAAGATGCAGATACTACTACAAAAACACTCAACCACATTATGTTTGACAAAGGGGCCAAACATGTTCACTGTAATAAAGATAGCATCTTTAATAAATGGTACTGGAAAGGGGCCAAGGATATAGTTCAGTGGCACAAGCATCTGCCTGGCAAGCACAAGGTCCTGAGTTCAATTCCCAGCACACAAAAAAAATAGTGTTGGAAAAATTGGCTTTTCACATGTCAAAGATTAAAATTGGACCCATATCTTTCACCATGTGCTTAAACTAAATTCAGAATGGACCCAAGATCTAAATATTAAAACAGAAACACTAAATCTGCTAGGAGACAGAATAGATGAAACTCTTGAAGACATTGATGTCTAAGCAAAGACTTGGTGAATAGAGCCCTAATCACACAGGAACTACCACATCTAATCAACAAATGAGATCTCATCTTATTAAAAAGCTTTTGCACAGCAAGAGAAACCACTGACAGAGTAAAAAGACAATCCATGAGGTGGGGAAAAATGTTTACCAATTTTTCCTCAGACAAAGATTACTATCAAGTGTAGGGAGCCACACGACAGCCCATTGCTGCCTCCCTGCCTCTCTCTCCTATGGGCACAATGCATCTGCCTACATTAACCATAATCCTCTCCTGCTTACGTCACATACCCAGATGTGACGATGACCCTGTTGTATTCATCCCCATAGCCTCTTCCTGTCCCACCAGCCTGCCCTTGACCAATAAAAGATGTAATCACTTCCGGAATAAACGGGGCTTGATTGGACTCTCTCAACTTGCCTCAGTCTCTCTCTCTCTCTGTCTCCCCCATGTGTTTATTTAATCCCCGTTCCCCCTCCAGGTACACCCCACAGGTTGATCCGCAGGCCAGATCAATCAAGAATATATAAAGAACTCCAAAAAAATCAGCCCTCCCAGATTTAAAGACTCAATTCAAAAATGGGCATCTGAGATGAATATATACTTTTCAGATGAAGAAATACAAACCGCAAATAAACACATGAAACAATGTTCAATATCAAAGGTCATTCAAGAGATACAAATTAAAATATCAATGAGACTTCATCTCACCCTAGAAAGAATGGCTATAATCAAGAAACCAATCAATAACAAATGCTGGAGGGGCTGTGGGGAAATAGGAACCCTTCTCCACTGTTGGCAGGACTGCAGAATAGTGCAACCACTGTAGAAATCAGTGTGGAAAGTCCTCAAAAAACTAGGATTAGAGGTATTATTCAACCCAGGTATGCCCCTTCTGAATGTCTTGCCAGAAGACTTAAAAACATCATACTACAGCGATATATGTGCACCCATGTTTATAGCAGCACAATATTGTAATTTAGTTCTTGGAAACAACCCAAATGCCATCAACTGTAGAATGGATAAAAAAAGATGTGATCTTTTTATGCAACGGAGTACTCCTGAGTCGCAAAGAAGGATAAACTGGAGACTTTCATAGATAAATGGAAGCAACTTGAGACCATACTCATAAGTGAAATAAATCAGAGTCACATGTGTAAACATAGTATTGTCTCCCTACTGTGAGAAGACGAAAGAAAAATTAAGATCCACATTGTACAACAGATACTGTAAAATGGGAAGAAACTTCAAAAGGAAAGAGAAACTAGGATGGAGGAATGGAGAAAAGAAGGAAGGGAAAAGCAAAAACCCCACAATATATACATGATAGTTAAGGTAGTTATACTACTAATTTTTCTTATTCATGGAAATAAGAGGTTTGTGCCAGTATTGCTTGGACAATTAAATGCCAGTATCTTATACTCTGAGTAATTGAAAGATAGCAATATGCTTTGGATTAACCATTGTTACCATCTTATTATCTTGTTTTGACATTTTGTGTTTTTTCTCTTTAAGATAAAGTATGGGTCTCAACACGTTTTCACAACAGTGAGTGCAGCTGTACTAGCACTCAGGTCAATGGACTGAGCACGTAGGGCAGCCTGGAGTGCTGGCCATCATCATCCCCGTCTCTGCTCCTTTCTCACCAAGGACCCATTCTCCTCCCTTCTTTCCTCCTCTGGAAGCTTATTTCTTCTCTCTCATCTCCTATATTTCTCTGTCCTCCCCTCCCCTCCCCTCCCCTCCCCTCCCCTCTCCTCCCGTCTCCTCTCGTCCCCTCCCCTCCCCTCCCCTCCCCTCCCCTCCCCTCTCCTCTCCTTCCCTCCCCTCTCCTCTCCTCCCCTCTCCTTCCCTCCCCTCTCCTCTCCTCCCCTCTCCTCCCCTCCCCTCTCCTCTTCTCTCCTCTCCTCTCCTCTCATCTTTCTCTCTGTCTCACGCGGTCTTGTTATGTAGTTCAGGCTTGCCTTCCATGGCCTAGTACCCATGCTGGCCTTGAACTCATGGCAGTCCTGCTGCCTCAGCCTCCTGAGTGCTGAGATTATAGGCATGTGCCACCGTGCCCAGTTTATATCCTTCTACTTTAATAGCACTTAAATTTCAAGCATCATAAGGTCTGAGTTTTGGTTTTTGCTATCCAGGCCGGCTTTAAATTCTTGGGCTCAAGTGATCTTCTTGCCTCAGTCTCCTCAGTAGCTGAGACTATGTCCCGCTGTACCCAGGCATGTCCCACCCAACTTTTAGGAGGTTTGTTGCTAAAGTTCAAAAATCTTCTGTCTTGAAGGAACAGAAGTGGCACAGCTGGGATAACACATTCCCTAGAGAAGAAATATAACTGGAGGCAGGAAAGTTAGAGGACAGTTACTTCCGTTTCTCCAAATTGTCTTTGACAGTTAAAAGTACGGCGCTGCTTTCCTCTAATCCTTCCCACTTGGACTACATTTCCCAGGAGGCTGTGCTCTGACAGCTCTCGGATTTAAATAGGATTCTGGGCTCTGCTTAAAGTCAGGCTGCTGCGGAGTGACCTGGAGCGCGAGAAGCAAGCCAAAAAGAAGCAGACGCGAGAGTTGGAGTCAGACCAGGAGTCTGAGCAAGTCCTGGGATTAAAGCTGGAGCAGCGTCACGAAAGAAGCTGACAAGATGCTGATTATTTTGGGGCTGTTCACCTGCTTCCTCTCCGCTTTGTACCTGACAGCTCCATCCATCAGGTTTGTCTTAATTCAACAACTCCTAACAGTTAGCAAAGTTCTGCACTGGGAGCCGGTGCTCAGCTGCGGAAAAAGACCAAGGGAGAGAAAGGTGGGTAGAAAAAGCAGAAGAAAGGGTCAGGGATACCACGGTGGAAAGTGAGAGGAAACACCTGGGGAGGGGGGTGGTTTCTCGGGGCTGATTTAGGAGTGAGTGACGGTTAAATAGCTCAGCAGCGCATTTAGATGACAGTCCTGCTCTTTCACTGTTGCCTTGGCTTCTGTGAGAGTCTTCCCTTCCCTTTCCCTAGGCAAGGTGGCCCTGATGGGTTGTCATGAGGGTGGAGATCATTGCTGAGGAACTCCTTCTTCAGACCAGGCGCTCTGGGAAGGAAGCAAACTCTTCCCTTAATATTACCCTCAATAAATGCTTTGGATTGGGTCCCTAGCTGTGAGATTTCTGGAAGGGTCAAAGAAATGTGTCTGGAGGAGCATTTTTAAATGCCTGCTGATAAAGAAAGGTAAATGGGGACAGTTAAATGACAGTATTATTTGGACAGAGAGAGCTGGATTCAAATTCCAGGTCTGCCACCGGTAGAAGTGACCTGACTTTTTGAGCCTCAGGTTTGCCTACTGTTATGTAGAAACAGTACCAGAGTGGCTGAAAACTTTAAATTCTGTGTGGAAAGTGCCTAACTGGGTGTCTGCCAGTCAGAAGATGCCCGAGAAATGTTAGTCCTGCCCATTTTGATCTTCTTGCTTAGAGTTTGAGAAATCAACAAAGGAGGTTTTCTCAGTGTACGCTGATGGCCAAAATAAAATTCCTAATACACAGCGCAGAGCTTCTTAGGATTCCCTGCTCACTCAAATGGGAGAGGCAGCCTTAGGGTGGTATTTGTTATTTTTTAATATTCAGCATTTGTTTTATTTGGGAGGGGGATTGTAGTCTTTTTATTAGCCTGTTTATCATATTTATTTGCTTTTTATTAGCACATGTTTGTAGTACATACTGATTATACAAATTGTGGGAAGTTGGAACACGTATGTAACACTTCAGAATTCTTTTAAAAATCCTCTTCCTGGGGCTGGGGATTTAGCTCAGTGGCGTAAGCGTCTGCCTTGCAAGCAGGCGGTCGTGAGTTCAATCCCTGGTACCGATAAAAATGAAAAAGACAAAAAAAATCCTCTTCCTTTTCCTCTCCATTCCTTTCATCTCTTGATCTCTTTCCCTTCTGTAAAGATCTATCTCTGTGTTTCCTATTATCTTTTATTTTGCTCTTTATTCATGTTTTGAATTTCTCATATAGGAGAAATCATGTGATGTTTAAGCTTGTGTGTCTGATTTATTTCATTTAACATTATGGCCTCAAGATATATCCATTTTCCCACAAATGACTCAAGTTTATCATTCTTTACAGCAGCATAGCATTCCACATTTTCTTTATCCATTTATCTATTGATGGACATGTAGGTTGCTTCCAAGATTTAGCTATTATGAGTTATGTAGCTATAAACATGGGTGTGCATGTATCACTGTAATGTGAGGACTTTAATTCCTCCAGTATACCTTGAAGGGGAATAACTGGATCAAATCAAATGTCTAGTGTTAAATTTTTGAGGAAACTACATTCTGGTTTCCATAGTGATGTAGTAGTTTACATTCCCATCAAGGGTGGTTTTTTCTACGCCACCTCCCAGGATTCTGCTCATCAGTTCCTTACTGTAATGGTTACTGGAGACCAAGGGCTCAGGACAATTGATTCAATGATGCACATGGCACATACATTTTGGGTGCAGGTTGGAAGAGGAAGCTGACCTTTGGGACCTCGAGCAACAGGAGCTCTATATCTTTGTTGTCTAAAGAAAGGATTTTCAAGGCTGGGGATGTGGCCCAGTGGTAGAGCTCTTGCCTTGCATGTACAAGGTCCTAGGTTTGATCCCCAACACCACATAAAACAACAACAATAATAATGATAATAATAAAATAAATTTTAAAAATAAAAATAAAAAGGAATGTCTCCATCAGCCCTGGCTTAAGAGCACTTACTCTGGTGCCCAGGGGATCATTTGGAATCTCTGGGCATGTGGTGTTCCACACTGCACCTAGGAGCTATCTACAGTCTTGCCCAGTAAAAACAAGTCCTATGCAGATTGGCTTCTTAGGGGCTTCTCATCCAACCTCAAGATGTTCTTTGAGCCTGGTGGATTTTATTTGATGTATCTCAATGTCGGTTGGGAAGGATAGTATGTGATGCTTTTGTTTCCCTTCCTTCCTAACAGGAAGTACTTTGGTGGTGGAGTTTGTAGAACCAACGTGCAGCTTCCTGGGAAGGTAGTGGTGATCACCGGTGCCAACACGGGCATTGGCAAGGAGACAGCCAGAGAGCTCGCCCGCAGAGGTGAGTGCTTCCTCATTGGCTCTGCAGGCCCTTGCCTCCCACTGTCCTGCTGGGGACTCTGCCCATATTGCCTTGTCTTTCCTCCTGAGCCTGGAAGCTCTGACAAGATCTCACAGAACTTGGGATTCAAGTGTGATTGTAACTTTCTCTCTGGCTTCCAACATACCTCCCTGTTCCATATTACGTAAAGAAAGGAAAATAATGATAACTGTGTATAATAATATTGGTCATCAGTTATTCTAATAGAAGATGGTAAGCAGCATTAAACATTAGAATATAGTTGGATGTGGTTGGATGTCTGTAACATCAGCACTCTTGGAGGCTGAGGCAGAAGCGTCACAAGTTCAAGCCGAGCCTGGGCAATTCAGTGAGACCTTGTCTAAAACAAAAACAGAAACCAGCTTGGGGAGATTGCCCAGTGCAAAGACCCTGAGTTCTTTGGGAGATTCAATCATGAGTATCATAAAACAAAATAAAACATAACTGGAATGTTAAACCAAGGTTTTGAGTGTGGAGTTAAGCTGGCAGTAGAAGACACATCAGTGCTACTATGAGACTCCAGAAGAAGCAGTATGGCACTGCAGTGCTTTAGGAGGAGGCTGTGTCCACCAGTCCCTATCGCTCCCTATGCCTCTTCTTCAGTCTACTATCTAAACACATTGCATTTTTGTTCTGGCCCCAGGAGCCCGGGTATACATTGCCTGCCGAGATGTACTGAAGGGAGAGTCAGCTGCCAGTGAAATCCGAGCAGACACAAAGAACTCCCAGGTATTGGTGCGGAAACTGGACCTATCTGACACCAAATCCATCCGAGCCTTTGCCGAGGGCTTTCTGGCAGGTGAGGCCCTAGGGGGCAGGAAGCCAGTATGGGAATGGCTGGTCCACCCTGGAGCATCTTATGGTCCTTACATTAGAACTATCACAATCCTACTGGACAGGTTCTACCATGTGAATCAGCAAGATAGTGATTTGGCAAGGGCATGGTGGGTAGACAAGCTAGGCAGGATCCACGCTGATGTTTGGCTCAGCAATGGGAAAGTTAGGGGTATCAGTTCTCTGTCTGGACTTGTACCTTGGCATTAGGGTGTGGCCCTGATGCCATGTTCTTCTTCAATCCAGAAAATCAACCTTTTGTGTCCACAGGCACTAGGTGAGGTGCCATTGCTAAGGTTCTTCTGGATCTTAGAAAATTACTGGCTTCCACCACTGCCTGTAGAATCCAGGAGGAGCAGGGACTAGGTCTGCCTTGTTTTACCAGTGAATTTCAAGAACTCTAGAGTGGGGCTGCTCCAGGGTTTGTATTCAGTATACACTTGCTGAGCACATGGATAAACAGGGAGATAGGAGCAATTCAATTTAAAAACTCATTGCAGTTTTTACTGAATACCACAGAGATCAGTCCAAATGGGGGATAGTTTACTGACTGCTGAGGCACACCTTGTTGTAGAAGACAGAAGCAAAGTGAGTGATAACTTCCCCCACAGAGAGTTCATGGACAAGGACAAGGGGCAGATACTCAGGACTATGACAGGCAGCTAGTGGACTCCTCACTAACTACAGGATTCCCTTGGTTGTGCTTGACAGAGGAAAAACAGCTTCACATACTGATTAATAATGCAGGAGTGATGTTGTGTCCATATTCCAAGACAGCAGATGGCTTTGAAACCCATATTGGGGTCAACCACCTGGGTAAGTATCCTTGAGTGACTCAAAAGAGAGGCACAACCCACCTTGTTCTCTGTAGAAGGGTGACTCTATTCCAGTGCTGAGAATCTCCACGGCCTCATAGACCCTACAATGCCTATACATTAGACACTTTGTTTTCACTCTCCTCCTGACCAGCCTAAGAGTGAGACCTTTCTATCCACACCAGTAAGAAACTCCAAATATCAGAAGATACGAGATTTCATTCTGGGGTAGAATAGTAAAAATACAGGCTCCCCAGGAGGTCCAAGTATGCAGGAATCTGGGTTCAGCTGGAAGGATGAGCAAGCCATAGGTTGGTCCATGAGGGCTGGCAAACCTTGAGAAATTCAAGTACAAGACATGCTGGGGCTCAGCCTTCAGGATGGTGGTACTAGAGAGGCTGGCACGGAGTATATTGTTCTCACTAATGATTCAGTTTCCCTCGGTGCATCTGTGTACCTGGGTGTAATCATAGCCCGAGAGGAAACTAGAAGCTAGCAGGTGGGAATTTTTCCTCACTACGGCAATGAGCAAAGGTTCAAAAAAATATAGATTAAGTATAATTGCTTCACTATAGTTGGACTCTCCTCCTTGCTTTGGGGAATCCACTAACTGGGAAGCAGCGGACCATTATCCCTGAGTTACTCTTTGTATCAAAAATTGTCTAGGGCTGGGGATTTAGCTCAGTGGCACAAGCGCCTGCCTGGCAAACATGAGGTCATGAGTTTGATCCCTGGTACCAAAAAAAAATTGTCCATACCCAGAAAAATAGTGAGCTAATGCTAAGGCAAGGCTGCCATTGTACCCTTCAGTCTCCTTTTGCTTCTCCTTGTAGGTCACTTCCTTCTCACCCACCTGCTCCTGGAGCGGCTGAAGGAATCTGCTCCCGCGCGGGTGGTCAACCTGTCGTCAGTGGTGCACCATATTGGCAAGATTCGCTTCCACGATCTCCAGGGCGAGAAGTTTTATTGCAGTAGTTTTGCCTATTGCCACAGCAAGTTGGCCAATGTGCTTTTTACTCGTGAGTTGGCCAAGAGGCTTCAAGGTAGGTCTGGAGAAAGGGTCAGGGTTAAAATGATAAAGAAAAAAAAAAAAAAAAACCCAAAGATCAGATGTTCCCAGAAACTCCTGGAGTCAGGCTGTCAAACATGCATGTTTAGGCAGTAGCTCTGTACGCTTAGGGAGAATGAGGTTATCAACAGAACAGTCTTTTTCTCCCGGGAAGCTTAATACTCAGTTGATTGAAGGACTGCATAAAGTTACTTTACATTTATATTCCATTTCATCAGTTAATCTCCTTTGAATTTCATAACAACTTTGTGCAACAAGCAGAGTAGGTATTATTGTTCCAATTTTACAGGTCATAAGTGAGGTCCAAGGAAATGCCCAACTCAAGATTAGATGGCCAGTGTAGGCGTCAGAAATAGAACACGGTACTCTACTTTAAACCCAGGTGCTTGCTCCTGTGAGCTTTTTGCTGAGGCTGAGGGTGGGGGAGTTGGTAGGTTGACCTACAGAGCTGCCTATTGCCTGGGGAGGGAGCCGGGGCTGGATTCTGGGACCCCAAGTTGGGGTCCTCACTCTGCTGAGCACTAACCCTGTGGGTATGTGGACATGTCCGTTACTTGCTCTGATTTCATCCCCACAGCTGTAAAATGAGTTGAGGCTGCCTTTTTTTTTTTAATGATTTTTTTGTCTTTTTCATTTTTATCGGTACCAGGGATCGAACTCACGACTGCCTGCTTACAAGGCAGGCGCTTATGCTGCTGAGCTAAATCCCCAGCCCTTGAGGCTGCCTCTTAATCCTCAATGATTCTATGCTGCCCTAGAGCTTTGGATGAGCTGCTGACTCTGATATCTGAGACTCTGACAGCCTATTTGCTGTACTGAAAAGAAAACCAGAGGCTGAGAACAATGGTTTTTGTTAAAAGACCAAAAGCAGAAGAGTAGGTTAATCATAAAAATACATGATAATTATAATAATGACAGGGAGCCTTAAGGTGTTCATGCAGCGTAGTCTTAACTCATTTAAGCCTCACAACACTTTTCCAGGTGTATACTATTATTTCCTCTCCTCCACAAACGAAGAGACAGGCACAACATATCATGAAATTTGCTCAATCAAGTTTCGAAGTAGAACCAAGATTGAAATCCAGACACTCTGCTTTGAAATCCATGCTCTTTACCCTACATTAGGGCATAGACCAGTGACGGAACCTTTTAGAGCTTTCAGTGATATGAGCAACCCACTGTGGCACACGTTTGTCACCACTGGTATAGATCTTGGCCCTGCAGCCTGCTAGATCTGATCTTAGGCAATTTATTTAATCTCCCCATAGCTCAGCTTCCTGAGCTGTAAATGGGTGACTTACTATTTCCTATCTCCCAAGAATTAAATGATACAATGCAACTAAAAAAGCACATAACACAGCCCTTGCACACAGGAAGTACTGTTTGAATGGTGGCACCAGGCGTATCTCGGGGATGGGTTACCTTCTACCAACATCTTCTAACCTAAATCTCATTAGACGTGCTTCCAGGCCAATGCAGCTCAGAACTGCAACAGCCCTACCCCACCACCAGTTAGACTGCTCGCTCTTTCTATAGAAGTGGCAGTGGTAATGCTGCCAATAATTGGTAATACTCCTTCATACATGTTGTTTTTATTACCAGGACTTGAGCCATAGGTGACATAAAAATAGAAAACTTTGAACCTTTTAGAGGCCCACCTTTTAGAGAATGGAAGGCTGTGAAGACTGTTGGTCTTTCTGGAATGGGTTAATTCATTCCTGGACAAATTCTACCTGGCTGGGAGTGCTACATTCTGAACTCTGGGGTTAAGTTCCTGGTCCCTTCTTTCATGGATTTTGCTGCAGAGACGAGCTATCTTCTGGGCTCAGAGTGTGCCCGTGGTCTCACTGTGTCCCCTTTGCCCTAGGCACGGGGGTCACCACCTATGCAGTGCACCCAGGCATCGTCCACTCGGAGCTGACCCGCCACTCCTTCCTTCTGTGTCTGTTGTGGCGACTCTTCTCCCTCTTCGTCAAGTCCACGTGGCAGGGGGCACAGACCAGCCTGCACTGTGCTCTGGCTGAGGGCCTGGAACCCCTGAGCGGGAAGTACTTCAGGTGGGTGGCAGCGTGCGTTCTATTTCCCGCGTGCGGGCGGGGACTCCGCGCTTTGCACCCAAGCAGTCAAGTTTGTGCCTGACAAAGAATCCAGGTTTGGGTTGGGCCTGCAAACCACCTGCTATTCCTTTCCCAAGGAAGTTTGTATTAGAAGCTTATGTTAGAAAGAATTGCTTTTTGGCTCTAATTTATTCCTGAGTGCCATGTTCCCACATAGACTACGTAGCTTTCTTTTTTTGGTACCAGGGATCGAACTCATGACCTCGCACTTGCCAGGCAGGCGCTTACGGCGCTGATCTAAATCCCTGGTCTATACTTCCTAGCTTTCTGAAAGCTGTTAGAGACTATCCCAAGGGGCTGTGCTATGACAAGAACTCTAGTGGATCTTTTTGTTTCCTCCTTTAAGCCTTTGGCTTATCTGGTTCATGAATTCTTTAGTAGGACTTGATAGCAAGTGCTGGGGGGACGGCTCAGTTTCTGCTCCATAAATTTTGTGTCCCAATACTGTCAAGGTTGGTTTTATCTCCTGACATATAGAAATTTTGGTACTGACTCTTAATCACAAATTCAGCATGCAGAGAGAATTTGAGAGTAGAGCGAGCCCAGGATTAGATCTCCTTCTCATTCTGTTACTTAATCCAGCCCAGGCCCCGCTGCTGTCTCACCTTCTTCAAGGTTGCTCATCAGAGCACTGCTGAAGGGAAGCACTAGAAATAACCTGTGACCGGGGCTGGGGATTTAGCTCAGCGGCATAAGCACCTGCCTTGCAAGCAGGCAGTCGAGAGTTTGCTCCCTGGTACAAAAAAAAAAAAAAAAAAAAAAAAAAAGAAAAAGAAAAAAAGAAAGAAAGAAATAACCTGTGTCCAACACTAGGTGAATAAATAAATGATAATAGCTCATTATCATTAGCTGATAATGTTGCTTGAGCTCTTACAATGTGTTTGGGGTTCTTCTAAGTTTTTATGTATTAATTCATGTAATTATCACAACTCTGAGAGGTGGGTAATTATATGCCCATTTTACAGAAGAAACTCAAGTTTAGGGTAATTAAGAAACTTGCTCAAGCTTTTAGCATTTGTAAGTAGTAAAGCTGAGGGTTGTACCCAAGCAGTCTGACTCCAGCCAGAGGCACTGCTCAGTGTAGCTGCTGCTGTCCACATGAACTGGCCACATTGAGTCCGTGAAATGTGGCAAGGCCAAATGAAGATGTGCTATTAGCATAAAATGCCCACCAACTTTTGAAGACACAGTATGAAAAAAGAGATATAAAATGTCCCATTAATATTTTTTCATATTAGCTACATGCGCAAATGTTTTTGGCTCTATTAGATTGAACAAGATATATTTCTAAAATTAATTTAACTAACTCCTTTTCACTTTTTAAATGTGGCTAATAGAAAAAGTTAATTAGCATTTGTGGCTCACATTTGTGGTTTGCATCATATTTCTGTTGAACTAATCTACTCTAGAGAATATAGGTATTTAAATTACTGCCTTAAAGGTGTGACAAAATAATATATAGTCATTAAATATAAGATTATTAAATAATATTTAACTTATAGGAAAATTTTGGTAACGTAACATTGTGAGAAAAAATGTATAATAAAAGACCATGTAAGTATTCACTGAAAACACATAGAGAACAGTCTGGAAGGACACCTAGCACTGAGTGGCAGTGGTTGTTTTTAGGGAGTTTGAGGGAGAGTCAGGCAGAATATGAAGGAAGATGAAAGGCTATGCCTTTTTATTCTAGATCTTACTTTGTTATTAAAAAATGTTAAGTCAGGTGTGTTGGCTGGGCAAGCATATATTCAAGACTACCTCAGACTACATTGTGAGACCCTGTTTCAAAAAAAATTTAAATGTCTATATTTATGTATCTATCTATCTGTCTGTCTGTGTACATTTGGAATCGAACCCAGGGCCTCAAACATACTAGGCAAGCATTCTGACTGAGCTGCATTCCCAGTACTTTCTTTCTTTCTTTCTTTTTTTTTTTTTCTTTTTGAGACAGGTTCTCACTATGCAGTTCAGGTTGGCCTTGAACTCACTTTGACTTTATATCCCATGCCGGTCTTGAACTCACAGCAATCCCCCATGCCTCAGGCTCCTGAGTGCTGGGATTACAGACATGCGCCGCCATGCCCAGCATCTTTTTTTTTTTTTTTTTGAGACAGAGTCTTGCTAAACTGTCCAAACTGTCCTTGAACTTGTGATTCTCCTGCTTCAGCTCCCAAGTATCTGGATATAGGTATATACCACTGCATCTGACAAACACCTATATTTTTAACAAGAGAGAGATATCTTCCCTAAACTAAATACGGTATGATCGTATTCTATGTCAAAGAAAGACACAGACTATACTATGTATCTACTTATACATGCACAAAGTAAACAAGAGTGTAAAGAAAAGCAATATATAAATGATAGGCTTTTCTTCTTTTATTAGTACAATGTTTTCCAAAGGCCATACAGAACTTTCATAATTCGAAAAACTATTAATAAAAATATAGCCCAGAGCTAGCAATATAGATTGGTGGCAGAACACTGACCTAGCATGTGCAAGGGCCTGGGTTCAACCCCTACCCCCACCTGGTAAAAAGAAGCCTATTATGAAAACTGTGTTCTCCCTCTACCCCACTCTCTCTCTAGACCTCAGCCTCCCCTCCCCTCATTCTTTCCAAAGCAAAACAGGCACACAGCCTAGGGCTTAAGCCTGAATGAGGAAATTATTTCATCTTTAAGTTCACAAACCTTCAACTGAAACTTAGCATTTCCTTCAAATATGAATGTAAGCAATGAACCCCAGTAGTAGCAGTGATACCTGTGACCTTTTGCCAGTAAATTGTTTCCATATTGCACTGGATTTGTTGCATCTATTTCATCATGCCACTTCTGCTCACCACTGCCTTGAAATCTGCTGGATATTAGTCCTAGTGCTAGATCTTGCAGAGTATATTAATAGAGAAACCTAGAAGTTACTATATCACAACTTTGTCTTAAAAATATTTTAAAAATGCATTTCAATGTGGTTCTTCGAATCTAGTACATTGCAATTTGGATATATATTCTGAGAAAGAGGCCACAAGCCTTCCCTGACTGCCAGTTCTCACTCTTCTGTATCTGCCCTCCAGTGACTGCAAGAGGACCTGGGTATCTCCAAGGGCCCGAAATAAGAAAACAGCTGAGCGTCTGTGGAATGTCAGCTGCGAGCTTCTAGGAATCCAGTGGGAGTAGCTGCGGGGGAAGCCATGGCTTTATCAGGCCCAACCCGTGCCACGATGAAAGGGCACCAATGAGAAGGCCAGCCCTAAAGGACTGTCCTACTACCCTTTCTGGAGTCTTTGTATACCCAACCCTCATGTGCAGCTAGCTCATGGCACGAGACATACCTGCCCACAGACCTCAAGACTTGGAGAGCTGGCAACCTTTGGGGACAAGAGGACTGGGCAGAGTCTACCCATGCTGGGAATAAGTGGAAGAGAAGCCTGGGAAATGGGGCTGATTTCCTCACCAACACCAAAACCACCAGCCTGCATGCTCAGCTGAGGCGACGTAACATATTTCCAGAGTCTCTGGGCTGACTTCCCTTTTGAAAGGATAATCACCACCTGGACTCTGGACCAATTCAGGAAGACTGGCTGACTGTGGCCAAATACAATTTTACGTTTGAATCCCCTGAAGCCACAGCGTGAAGTTCGGCTTTCCCCTTTCCCATCATGCAGGTAGTTTCTTCCCAAAAGTTCCCTGTACCCCACTTTCTAGAGAAAATAAAAATTTGAATATTTCTTATTGCCTTATTCATTTTTCTCAGGGAGAAATGGAGCAAAGAGGGGGAAGAAAAGTATCTTACCGTCCTTATCCTCCCATAACTTTCTAAGAATATTGCATCTGGGGGCAAAATCAAATGAGAGTACTAGGATTACAGTCATATGCCACCATGCCTGGCCAGAAAGTTTTCTTATTGATTATAAAGTGAACCACAGAGCTGGGTACAATGATGGTAATCTCAGCACTCAGAAAGCTGAGCAGGAAGATTGAGAGTTCAAGGCCAATCTGGACTACGTAGTGAGACTGGAGAGGGAGAGACAGAGACAGAGACAGAGACAGACAGAGAGACAGAGACGGAGAGAAGGGAAGGGAAGGGAAAGGAGAAGGAAAGGAGATGGAGGGGAAAGGATGGGAAGGGAAGGAACAGAGTGAATCACAAGCAGAAATTTTCTGATTTCTGATTTCATGGCTAAATGTGACACCTGAATCTGCTGCATTATCCAGAGTCCGCCAGTGGTGCTGTGCTCGCCCAGGACTAAGCTCACAGGCTGAGGATGGGACAGGAACAGATGAAAAGAACCTGGGCTGCAGGATGTAATAGTGGCTCCCTGAATTAACCAAGACTGTGCTGCACCCCGACTTCTCTGACATTACGTTCCTTATTGTTTGTGCCCTGATACAGTAATACTATGTTGAATCATATAGAATTGATGCTATTTGGTCATTTCTACACTAATTTTTCTCTCTGATTGCTGTCTTCCTGGCCTACCTTCACCACTCTCAATTTCCTCATCTTCTAAGTGAAAATTTGACAACTATTTCATTACATTTTTTTTCTACCCCCAAGACCCTTCATTTGCAGCTGATTTCACTATTGATGAGGATTACTTACCTAAGAACCTAAGAGAGATTCCTTTTTTTTTTTCCTGGTTTTTACTTTTATTAGTACATGTATGCAGAATATAATGTTTACATTCATTGTGGGGAGTTAGTACCTGTTACATAACTGAATTCCTTTTTCATCCCCTTTCCCCTTCTCCTTCCATCAATTGATCCCCTCTCCATTTAAAAAACATCTCTTCCTACTATCTTTTATTTTTTTCTTTATATTTTGGGTTTCTCATATAAGAGAAACAATGCATTATTTAAACTTGCATGTCTGATTTATTTCATTTAATATTATGGTGCATTCATTTCCTACAAATTATTCGTTAACCTTCTTTATGGTACAGTGTACTTCATTGTATATAAATATTATATTTTCTTTTAACATCTTGGCATACCTTCACTGGAGTTCATTCAAATTTTCATCAGTTGGGGCTGGAGGTTTAGCTCAGCGGCATAAGCGCCTGCCTTGGAAGCAGGCAGTTGTGAGTTCGATCCCCGGTACCGACAAAAAGGAAAAAGCCAAAAAAAATATTTTTTTTTCGTCAGTCTATACAGTCTGTTTTCTATAGTTAGATATATAATATTAATTAGTAAAAAAATCAAGAAAACCTAAAAGATGTGACAAAAAATAGAGCAAGTATTTAAAGTTTTAAAATATTTGTTGTAGGAAAAGACACTGGAATTATCAGAATACTCCCTCTCCTTTCAAACTCACTTATCCCATCATTCTTGCCACTTCCTGAAGCAGTTCTGGACGTCCTCTTTTGTGAGCATCTATAGTGTGCTGTGATGGCTGCCTTGATGTTCTGAGTCAACTCATTTTACCTTTCATTGTCATTTTGACTTTGTGGAAGAGTCAGAAGTTGTACAGTGCTGTATCCAATGAATAAGATGGATAAACACACACCATAAATGGCTGATCAACAAAATGTGACCAAAAAATATGATGAACACTTAGATTTAAAAATGTATTACAGTAAAAGTATTTTTAAAAAGTATTACCCATTGCCACTAACCCAAATCAAAATGCTTCTTCTTACTTCAGGTACACTTATGCCACTATTTCTGGCAATGTGCAATAAGTTTTAAAAAATTTTTATCATTCACCATATTTTCAAAGCTTATAGATCATGAGAACAACTTGTTCTATTAGGAAGAGATTAATATAATAAGAAGCACTTCTAAATTTCAGTGGCTTAATATGGTAAAAGTTTTTTCTTGCTTATGTCACAGTCTTGAGGCAGGGATGGGGTGACAGGGAGGGTTCTATTCTTTATGTCCATAAAAATATCAATGGGTCACCATCTCTAAGGTCATCAAAAATTTTCACCAAATGTTCTATATCCAACTGGCAGATGATAAAAGAGGGAAAGATTGTGACCCAGCAATATTGAGATGGATAATAAAGACATATGCAGCTTATAAATTCTCATATACTTCTTCCATCAAATTCCATAAAATAACTTTCATCTCAGTAAAATCACAAATTATATTGTTATAATCATCTAGTTGTTTATGTCCTAAAGGTTGTAGATACTTAATATAATTGTATTCAAATATATGCAATTTAAATACATTTTCACAAAATGGAAATCAAAGAAATGTAAAAAAAATTATTTGTTTTGGGTCAGAAACCAGGGGTTTTTGGGTCAGAAACCAGGGATAGCTCAGCGGAATAGCACCTGGGGCAGCAGGCTAGCAGTTGCGAGGTACTGAGTTTGATTCCCCTTTTCCCCCAAAACACAAATGTTTTGGATCACTTTTCTTCCAAAATATGTATCTTAACTATTAAAGTTGAAGGACAACATAATATTGTAATTATAAATATCAACATTATAGATAAAAATTATTTAAGTACAGCTGAAGTTGATTTTTTGACAAATTAATTGTACAAATATTTACTAAAATGAAACTAATGTGCAATGCCCTAATTACCCAATGTAAATCTCATTCTCTTGTAAATTACTCTATACCTTTATGCCTATCAATTTAAAAGTAGCATGAATCATTTAATGTTAGCAAATATTATCATTTCCACATAGAAGCATTACAAAAATATACACATCAGAATATGAAGAGACAAGAAAATAGGTCCTCAGCACTGCTGACAATGATACTTGTTTTAATGTAAATTAAAACACTATTAAACTAGTGATTACACTAGTGTTGAGAAAGAATTTGACAAGCTAGTCTCTTCTCATCCTCAACTCCTTTCTTTATTCAAATCCTCCTTGCACTCCAAAGCAGCAGCACTGCCATTCAGGAGGTATGCTCCAGGTATGGCGGTGGTGCGCGTCTGTAATCCTAGTCCAGAAGATCGCACATTCGATTCAGCATGGGCAATTTAGTAAGACGGTGTTTCAAAAAAGAAAAAAGAAGGGATTGGGGAATACAATGCCCTGGGAAGTCCCTAGGCTCAATCCTCAGAGCAGGTATTTAGGCTGTCAGGTTGTATTATGTCAGCACCGAGCTCCAGAGTCTGACAAAAGAGATCAAATATTCTTAAATACAGTCATGAAACAGAGAACTTTTGAAGTACATGATCAAAGGAAGGAGTCTTTCCTGCCTATGCCTAAGGGCTGTAGGTCATCTCCTTCATATAGTCTTGACAGGGCCACTGAGAGTCTAGCCTGGGAATCCCAGAAAAGAGAATCTTTTGGGCGTCCTTTTTATCCTAAAGAATCTCTACCATCAAAGTCTAATGTCAATTTAGCACCAAAGAATCATCAAGTGTTTACTGAATACACCAGAATTTTGCCTTATAAACTATGGGAGAAAATATGTTTAGAGTGTAAATATCTCAACTAAACAACATGGCGAGAATGATTCCTCAGTTCTGTGAAAATGAAAATTAAAACTAAGGCAACCAGCACAAAAGTTCACAGGCAAAAGCTTTAATTAAAAAGGAAGAGAAAATGGGAAAGGGCTGTAGCATGAGGAGTCGAAATTAAAAGGGGTACAGCTCTGAGAAAGATCAAGGTGGCCCCTGAATAGGAAAGTAAGAGAAAAATAGGGAAGAGGCCTCCCTTGAGCAGCTGGAGGTGGCACACTCTGATGGTGAGGTTCAGACAGGCCCATCTGCAAAAGAGCCAGGTCGTTTTATTTTCTCCAATATCCTATAGCTCCCAAACATTTACGGGGACTTAAACCTATAATCAAGTGTCTTTTAGATAATGGTTTTCTTAAATCTACCCTTTCGCCCTACAATACTCCAGTTCTCCTGGTATTCAAGCCTAATGGGCCCTACGTCTAATACAAGGCCTTAGGGTAATCAATGAAGCTGTTACCCCAATTGACCCAATGGTATCAAACCCTTATACCATGCTCTCTCATATCCCTGCCTCCACCACTTACTTCACAGTCCTAGATCTTAAAGACACCTTTTTTTTTTTTTTTACCATCCCCCTACACCCTGATTGTCAGGATTTCTTTGCATTTACATGGAGTGACCCAGATACTCTCAGGTCTCAACAACTTACTTGGACAGTGCTCCCTCAAGGGGTCAGAGATAGTCCTTATCTCTCTGGCCAAGCTCTTGCTGCTGACCTTGCAGCTCTTGACCCCAGACCCAGCACTCTCCTTCAATATATTGATGACCTTCTCCTGTGTTCTCCATCCGATACATTATCCATACCACATTCAGCCCGTCTTCTTAATTTTCTCACTAGTTGTGGGGACAGGGTTTCTCCTGATAAAGCCCAAATAGATTCCCCAAAAGTCAAATATCTAGGTCTCTCTCTCTCACTCTTACTACTACTCATCATTATAGATCCAAGGCAATTCTTCAGGAGCTCCAGATGCCCACAACCAAACAAAAGGTTCTATTTTTCCTAGGTTTAGCTAAGTTCTTTCATCTGGATTCCTAACTTTGCAGCTCTAGCCCAACCCCTTTACAAAGCTTCCAAGGGCCCCTTATCAAAGCACCTAGACCCCACTATGCCCATACATGCCTCCTTTCATAAGCTGAAAGAGGCTCTCCTAAGGTCCCGAGCCCTTACCCTTCCTGACCCCGTGCGACGCTTCACTCTATACACTATTTCTCAGGGTCACAATGATGTAAGTATACTAAGACTCAAAAAGGGACCTTCTTTTCAAGTGGTAGCCTATTTGCCAAAACAATTAGACAACA